ACCTCCATCCTCACTGCAGTGCCCTGTGAGTGCAGGCCTGTGCCCGTGACCTGGCTGGACCCTGGGTTTTCCTGAGCCACTGGCCCTGAGCTGCTTGTGCTGTCAACAGGGCAGCCCTCTGGGTCTGGATAAGAGGTTCTGCGTGCTCCTTACAGTTCACAGCAGGTGTGGGCCGTCTTCCCTGACTCCTGCCTTGTCCTCAGTAGTAAGTCACACCCCTGTCACTCCCTGATGGAACCACTCCACTGAGGTTGTTGATTTTACACTGACGCTTCTCTTTGGGATACCCCAGGCTCGTGGTTACCCAATGGAGGAAAAATTCTGGGAGAATCGGCTGGTAAGATGCCTGACACCACTCTCCTGGCATCTGACATCAAGGATACCTTAATTTTCTTAGTTTCTAAAAATTGTGGTACATACACATAACAGGAAATTTACCATCTCAAATACTTCTAGGTGTATGATTCTGTGGCATTAAATATACTCACAGTGGTGTGCAACCCTCACCACCATCCATCTCCGGAACTTTCTTCATCTTGCAATCTGAAACTTTGTGTCCACTAACTCCCCCTTGCGCCCCCCCCAGCCCCCGGCAGCCACCATTCTACTTTCCGTCTCTGAATTTGATGACTCCAGGTGACACATCTGAGTGGAATCATACAATCATTTGTCTTTTTCCAACTGGCTTCTTTCACTTTGCGTGACGTCCTCAAGGCCCACCTGTGTTGTGGCGTGCATCAGAACTTCCTTCCTTCTTAGGGCTGACTACTGTCCCCACTGTATGGGTAGACCACGTTTTGTTTGCCATTCATCCCTCGGACATGGAGAATATCTCATAGTAGAAAGAGTCAAAGAAGCCAGTGAGGGCTTCATCTTGGCCACTCATACTCTCTGCGGCTCCACCCTCTGCGAGGGTTGGGTGGACAGGCCGAAGCTACCTGCTCCTCCTGCATTGAGCAGACGGGCCTGGTGCTGGGCACAGAGGATGCAAACTGGAGCAGGAGCCAGTTCCTGCCCTCAAAGTGCGGCAGCAACATGTCACATTAGTGCCAGTCTGTCCGGGGCTTTATAAAATTAAGAAAGAGCCTGTATCCATCCTGAAGGCTGTGTGACCACAGGGCTTCTAAAGGATGCTTCTGTATTCCCAGAGTTAGGTGGGAGCTCCTGGAAAGCTCTCTTTTTATCCCAGTGCTCTTGCTAAGAATGGAAAGCCCCTCTGCGTGACTGCAGTAGCTGGTGCGATCCTCTGGTCACTTGCACCAGAGCCTGGGAGGTAATGGCTTGAAAAGCTCACCTCTCATAATGGGATGCCAATAAATATTATCCGAAGTTGATATACCCAGAAAGAGAGTTTAAAAATTATTTAGAGAGGTGGAAAATAACCACCAGTAGAATTAAAATCAGAACTGACAAGGATGGCCAGCAGAGTGGGGAAGTCCAGACTGGGGAATGTGATGTTTCATTATAAGGTCTTTCAGCATTTACTTACTTTGGTCTGAGTGAAGGAATTTTCTCATTTTTTTGAGGGCCATGTACAGCAAAAGGCTCACCATCTGTCAGACACACTGGTCAGTTCTCCTGGCAAGGCAGAGTTGGAGGTTTCTGTCCTCAGGTGGGTGGGCAGGGACGGTAGTTTACTGTAAGGTATCCAACAGCACCAGGGGCAGGAAATGAAAAGTGCTCGGTGATTGGTGGGATAATGGTATCTAGCACAATTATTCCTGCCAAAATCTTAATGGTGGCTGGGTGTGGTGGCTTGTGTATGTCATCCCAGCACTTTGGGAGGCCAAAGTGGGTGGATCACTTGAGGTCAGGAGTTCAAGACTAGCCTGGCCAACATGGTGAAACTCTGTCTTTACTAAAAAAATACAAAAATTAGCTGGGCGTGGTGGCACGCACCTGTAATCCCAGCTACTTGGGAGGCTGAGGCAGGAGAATTGCTTGAACCTGGGAGGCAAAGGTTGCAGTGAGCCAAGATCGCGCCAGTGCACTCCAGGCTGGGTGACAGAGCAAGACTCCATCTCAAAAACAAAACAAAAAAAAAACACACACACACACAGAAAAACAAAAACAAAAAAACCTTAATGGTGTGCAATAAATGAAAATGCTGCCTCAGTCAGATGGGACTAGCATTTTTCAGCAACCTTCAAGGTCTTGTGTCACAGGAATGAAGATCTGAGTATTTCCCACCCATGAGGGGGTTGGTGAACGAGTTTTCAATCCTGGGCACCCTGGACTGTACTGAAAGCCTCTGCACCACACCATCTGTGTTAGTTGGGAAAGAGAGCTCCCACCATTCCCTTTTAACCCTTGTCCTTTTGTACCACAGCAGTTGCTTTCCTGGAGATCAGAACCATGACTGGGTTTGACATCATCTTTGGAAATCCTAAAAGGCAATGAAGCGATTTCTCTCTCTCTTTTTTTTTTTTTTTTTTTTGATACAGCTGTGTCAGTTTGAAATTTTATTTTCATATCAGTTGTAATAGTATATCTGCTTGACATAGTTTCTATTAAATGGGCTTGATAAGAAGCTATTTAAAAATTCAGATATTTAGAGTTTCAGGGCCCGCCATCTTGATTTTTGGGGCAGTACCTCAATTTCATAGTGTTATTCTTTTCCAGAAAGATGGGTCACTGAATAATTTACATTTTATGGTTATTTTCTGAGGAGCTATTTCTGGTTATAAATGGTAAACATCTTCTAGGTTTTGCAGTAAGAAATAATTGATTATGTTAGAAAAAAAGAACCATAAGATGTGATTTGAATTTTGAGTTCCTGTAAGTACCTTCTGGAGCAGAAGGTTTTGTCTTCATGGATTCTGCGTCTTGGATTTGGGTACTGTGTTGCACTGAGCTGTGCTCTGTAGGGAGGAGCCTGTGGTCAGAACAGTTTGGGTTCTGCTGGCTGCCTCTCACTCTATTCAGGGAGGCTGGGTCCCAGAGAAAGATGACAGCAGTTAGGTCTTGTTGGGAAGAAAACTCGGCTACCAACCCTGGACCGTTTTGCTTCCCCTGAACAAATAAGATAGTCATTCGCCTGCTTTGGAGGACGGTACCTGTGGTTCGCACAGGACGAGGTGGCAGCTGGCTTGCCTGCTGGCTTGCTTGGTGGAGATAAGATGCTCAGACCCGCCGCTGCTCTTCAGGGGTGGTGGAGGGAATTAATGCACTTCCTTCTGTCCCCCAATCTCATTTACATGTCTCGAGCTGAACATGTATTATTTTGCTTTCTTCATCTCAATAGAGCTTTTAAATTAGATAGGTGTTGCTTAAGCCATTCAGAAATGTTTCACATTTAAAAAGACAAAAGGTAGTTGCTGCCGTGATTCCTTCACCCACCCCTACACCGTGGCCTTGTAGGACAGTCCTCCCTTGGCTGTGCTGAGCCCATCTGGAAGTGTTTCTGATTCTAATCAGAAGTGGAACAGTTTCAGTGCTGATTATAGGTTCATGTTAGTGATGAACTTGGGTGGAGATGGGGACACAGCTTGTTCTCTCTTCCTGGACTCTCATCCAAGGTCCTGAGCTGCCAGGGGCCTGGCCACTCCCGCCCCGAGCCCTGCCTTGGCTGAGCTGGTCACCGCTGTGTGTCCCGGGCTGCCGGCCTGCCTGTCACCTGCAGTGCACAGGTGTGCATGTGTGTGCATACATACATGCACCACACACACCATGCCCACCTCTCACACTCCATACACACCACACACCAACCACACACATTACGCACACCCCATACATACCACACACCACAAACACCACACCAGGCACACAAAACATACATACACACTCAACCCTTCCACACTACATTACACTCCACACCCACCACACATCACACTCCACACACAGCACACATACATCACATTCACGTCACACCACACCACATACCACACACCATGCACAGTACACTCCACACACCACACCCTCCAGGATGTCCCGCAACCATACATACACACACACCACACACCCACACCATACTACACATTTACCATATACACACCACACACAGTGTATCTCACGCACACACCGCATACTCCGCCACACACATTTGCATGCAAACTACTCATTGAATGAAACTGAATGATTGTTTTCCCACATTAATACTGCCCACCTGCGCACCCCCGGCTGTCCTGGCCGGCACATCCCCTGGTCCTGCCCTCCCTTGGGTCAGCACCGCCTCCTGTGTTTCGGGTGTCTCTGGCTGTGCCCTGTGGCGTGCTCAGGTCCTGATTGCATGGGAGGCTGGCTCCTCTGCTCCAGTGGCCGCCTTCCTTGAGGAGACCAGCCTGTTTGCCACCTCGATGGCCAGAGCAGCAGCCTGTGTGGGAAGTCCTGCTTCCTCCCCTCGCTGTCTACCCCTCCTCACATGTCATTTTGTCTCAGTGCCGACATCTCCCCAGCTAGAAAAGGAGACCCTCAAAGGCGCACAGGTGGGTTTGATTATAATGCCAGTGAATAATAAATGTGTTTTGGTGAAACACTCAACCAGTACATACATCTTTAATAAAGTCAAATATCCAGGCTTCCTCTGCTCCCACCTCTCTCCCCCACAGAGGACATGGCTGACAAGCCTTTGGGGGTTTCCCCTTTCTGTGTGCCTTTGCGAGGTGTATGGCCTGGGCAGTGTGTGTATTCTCTAGCCATCTTGACGGACCTGTAAGTGGGATCTACACACATGTGTTCGCTGTAGCTCGCTTGCTGTTTTCCCTCAAAAATAGGCCTGTAAGATCCCTCACTGTAGTGTGCGTTGCCCTGCCTCTTTAAAAATGCTGTCGACTCTTCCAGGGCATGAACTCTGCCATCATTTATTTAACATTCTCTTATTTATGGGTACCGAGGTTGTTTCCAGTTTTTTAAAAGATTGCTGCAATGAAAATCTTCAGCTGTCATTTTTCACATTGCTGTGGGAGAACGTGGTGGGAGGTGCTGTGGTGGTGGAGTGGCCCCATGCACAGCCAGGCTTTGTGGGGTTCTGACTCTGTCCTTGCCAATGTTCCTCCCCACAGTGGCTGCCTCCGGGGAATGATGGCCGCGGGAGCGCCCGCCATGCCCCACCGGAAGCGTCTACCGTGGCCCACCGGAAGCGTGAGCGTGCGGGGAGCGGCGTGTTGGACCACAGGGCTAGGCCGGGTCCTGTCTCCCACAACCAGGAGCCTGAGAGCGAGGACGTGGAGCTGCCCTTGGAGGGCTACGTGCCCGCGGGCCTGGAGCTGGCCGCCCTGTGGCCGGGGAGCCCCCCGCCCGAGGAGCGGGAGTGCTACAACCACAGCCCCGATGGGGACTCCAGTTCCGACTACGTGAACAACATCTCCGCGGAGGAGGACTATGACGAGGGCCTCCCTGAAGAGGAGGAGGGCATCACCTACTACATCTACTGCCCTGAGGACGACAGCTACCTGGAGGGCATGGACTGCAATAGGGAGGAGTACCTGGCCCACGGCGCGCACCCCATGGACACTGACGAGTGCCAGGATGCGGTGGAGTGGATGGACTAGGCGGGCCCACACCCCCATGGTCACGGGGCTAAAGCAGCCAGGACTACCCGGATGGCCAACTGCCCATCCTGGAGGATGAGCCCTCCGTCCTGGAGTCCCACGACCAGGAAAAAGATGGTCACTACTGTCCCAGCAAAGAGGGCTGCCAGGACTACCACCCTGCGGAGGCTAACGGGAACACCAGTGCTTCTGCTTACCCCGTGAGGCGTGGGGACGGGGACCTGGAGGACCAGGAGGAGGACATCGACCAGCTCGTGTCAGAGATCAAGATGAGCCTGAGCATGACTAGCATCACCAGCGCCAGTGAGGCCAGCCCTGAGCATGGACCTGAGCTGGGGCCTGGGGACTCTGCAGAGGCCTGCCCGCACAGCAAGGCCACCTGCAGCCCCAGCAGGTACGAGGCGAGGCCCAAGTCGCTGAACCTCCTTCCCGAGGCCAAGCACCCTGGAGACCCCCAGAGAGGCTTCAAGCCCAAGACCAGGACCCCAGAAGAGAGGCCAAAGTGGCTCCCAGAGCAGGTAGGACTCTGGCTGTCCCAGGGAAGGGAGCAGAGGGGCCCAAGAGCAGGGGACCTCATGGTACAGACCTCGCAGATGCTGAAGCAAGGGAGTGGTGGGTGCTGGGTGCCTTACAGTTCTGATGGTGGCTGAGCTTGTCATTTGTCTAGATGGGAGACGTGTTGTGTGGATGCTCCGGCCACTCTTAAGCTCACCCCTGAGACTCAGGAGTGAAGCCGGTTGAGGGCTGAGTGGCGACTTGTGTCTCGCAGAAGACACCCCTCCTCCCACCCTAGAAGAGAGGTTCGATTTCTTGCCCGCTGCCCTGAGTCTGCTCATGGTGGGACAGTGTCTGGGAGAGCCCCTCCATCCTCAGGGGTGTACTCAGACCAGCAGGGCAGTGGCAAAGACATGGGGGTGCTGGTGCTCACACACTGCTGTGGCCAGTGTTGGGTGGCCTGGTGTCTGGGGTGGGGGCCAGAGTGCATTTCACAGTGGACGCATCTCTGAAAGCCCAGGAGCCTTGGCCTGATGGGCAATTAGCTGTGAATAACTATTTGGAAAATGATTTTTTGAAGGTTTGACAAAAACCTTAGGGAAGAAACTCATGCTAATGAGGGCAGTGAATGTCAGCATAACTGTATTTTAATTATGGCAAAGTCAGGATGCATTCTGATAAACACATTTGAAAAGCTGCCTTCCAAAAAAAAAAGAAGATGTGATTATTGGACTTGTGTGAAGGAACTTGTATTTGGCCAATTATGTGGACTGCTTTCATATTTTTTAAAGCCTTAACTATTAAACATTTTTTTCCGAGAAGAATTCATGAATTTGAATGTGTGTGTGTGTGTGTGTGTGTGTGTGTGTGTGTGTGTGCGCGCGCGCGCTGAGAGCTTGGGTTTGGAATGGAAATCATATTGACTCTTGGATTTTCAGCACTTGTATTTTAATGTCTTGTGTTCTCTCTAAAGAATGTTAAGTGTCAGTTGACTTCACTTTGGGGGTGTTCCTGTCATTCACAGCAATTCCGTGTTTACAGGGGGCTGTGGGATGCATAGGAAGTCCCATGGTGATGGGATGGCAGGCACGGGAATTTTACAAACCCAAAGCATTTAGATTGTAACCATTGCTAGTCAGTGACTATGAAAAGACATGGGACTATGGTAATAGGGGGCTGACCGAGAATAACTCCTAATCCTATGTCAGATAATACCACGGGCAGCTCAGGAAAACTACGCACAACTCAGACATGTGCAGAAAGGAGATGTGGAACGGAATGGAGCCCCTGGGCTGATAGAGGCCTCCAGGACCTGCCACACCCATGTCTACCCCCAGTTCCCCAGTCAACCTTCACAGAAGAGAAGTTGATCCCCCTCCAGCTGAGACCGAGCCAAGGCCCAAACTGTTGGAGCTGAAGGATGTTTGGGCTAGGCTCACAGAAGCTGTTCCGCTCCTCCAGTGTCAACAGCTACCCGTGGTCCAGGCCTCTGTCTGGTCCTGGCCCTTTTTTTTTTTCTCCCCAAGATGGAGTCTTGCTCTGTTGCCCAGGCTGGAGTGCAATGGCATGATCTCAGCTCACTGCAATCTCTGCCTCCTGTGCTCAAGCAGTTCTCCTGTCTCAACCTCCCAAGTAGCTGGGATTACAGGCACCCGCAATCATGCCTGGCTAATTTTTGTATTTTTGTAGAGACAGGGTTTCACCATGTTGGCCAGGCTGGTCTTGAACTCCTGACCTCAGGTGATCCGCCCACCTCAGCCTCCCAAAGTGCTGGGGTTGCAGGTGTTAGCCACTGCACCCAGCCTTGTCCTGGGCCTTTTAAGAGACACTGGGTGCTGACTCACTTCTGGGTCTCCCCCATGAGTGGCCCGCCAGGTCTGCTCTGGGTGCAGCCAGGCTGTGCAGGGCCGGGAGCCTGAGCTGGACTTAAGGTGGGGAGACGCTGCTGCCCAAGAGCTGCTCGGGTGCGATGTCAGGGTGCAGGCTGTTGCCATGTGTGGCAGCATCACTCATTTACCCTCTTGTTTTATGAGCCTGGGTCCTTCGGCTTATGTCCTTGCAGGTGGCCTCTGATTCTGCCTCTGGAGCCTGTCTACCCCCTCTTGATTCATTCATTGGGCCCCAAGTATGTGAACGATAGCATACTAGCCACTTTTAGAAATATCTGTGTTCATCTTCAAGAGAGGGGGGTCATCTAGCCATTCCCCAGCCCTCAAAACCCACTCCACAGACAAAGTAATGGCAGGTCAAGGCTCCTCTTGCTGTTCTGAACCACAGGCATAGCAAACACAGTACAAAAGAAAAGGATTTCACGTGCAATAGAATTTCATTCACCCTGAAAAAGGAAGGAAATCCTGACACAGGCTACATTGTGGATGAACCTTGAGGACATCCTGCTAGAGCCAGTCACAAAAGGACAAGTTCTGTGTGATTCCACTTCTCTGAGGCACCCACAGTAGAATCACAGAAACAGGAAGTAGAATGGGGGTGGCCAGAGGCTGGAGAGAGCAGGGAGTGGGGAGCTGTTGTCTAATGGGTGCAGAGGTTCAGTTGTGAAGATGGAAAAGTTCTGGAGACGCGTGATGGTGAAGATCGCACAACAGTGTGAATGTGTTTAGTGCCACTGAACTCTACACCTAAAAATGGTTAAGATGGTAAATTTTATGTTATATATACTTACCGCAATAAAAGAAATAAGAAATAAAAGGTTTTTGGACGATGAACTGACTCAAGCCAGTTTGGATCCTCTAAACCTAAGTTGAGCCAGTCTGCACCCATGCAGCCAGAATCACACTGTATTAGGCTGTTCTAGCACTTCACATGGTGAGAATGGGGGAGAGACAGAGAGTGATTGATTGATCGGAGGCTGTGCCAGGGGAGTGTTACACACTAAACCACCAGATCTCTTGTGAACTCAGAGCAGGAGTTCACCTATCACCAAGAGGATGGCCCAAGTTATTCGTGAGGGATTCTCCCCATGATCCAGACACCTGCCTCCCACCAGGCCCCACCACCAGCATTGGGGATTGCATTTCAATATGAGACGGAGGTGGGGACAAATATCCAAACTGTATCACCCACAAGGAAGCAAAAACATTTTGGGCCAATCAAAACTGTTTGGATATAGCCACAGTAGGGATGAGCTATGATTACACCCATACCTGTGGACCTGTGGACCTGTGGACCTGTGGGCCTGTGGACTTGGCGTGTGTGGTCATGTGGCGGTGGGTCGGCACATCCCTGGGAGGTTTTAGGAGGACATTCAAGGCCAAAATGAGCCCTGAGTAAATAATACAGCCACGTCCTGAGAGGGAGGTGGGGAGCCTCCCCTTCTCTCCTAGGTCTTGTGTGGGTCATGATCCTACCTTGGCAGGAGTGGGAGGAACATGGATCCTACAGGCTATGGCTTACAGTAAAGTGGTTGTGGTCATGCCTTGTGAGTGTCATTAAAATAAACATATATTGTGAAATCCACCATTAAATAACAGCTATTTCTGCTATCCTCTCGCCTTTTCCACAAATTTAAATATCCCAGGTATTCTTTGTATATTCATAAAAGTAGACAGGTAGATTTAGTGAAGTTAACTGGATCATTGGTATCTTCTTTATATGTCATCTGGTGAGACTTGTTTTCCAAATTATGAGTTGTAGGAGTTTGTTTTAATGTCTATAGCCTTGGGCAGTTCCATCGAGACTAAACTAGTTGTTTTTTTTTTCTTATTGGGACTAATGTTATTCACCAGAACTGTGGACTCCTCATATTAGGAGAACAGAGATCTGGCCTGTGTAAATGAGTGGAAGGAAATACTATAGATAATGTCCTCTGGAAATTGAAGTCTAATATTGACTTACTAATGATCGTTTAATTTCCTTTTGGCTTGGGCACCATCGTTGCATTCATTTTTCAGATGTCAAGCAAGTTTTCTCAGAATGTGTGCAGGCCTCAAGGCCAAGTGTGGAGGCCACTGGGTGAATACAGGAGAGGTCACAGGTCAAGCCTCCTAGGAGAACTATAGGCTTGAGCCTCCTAGAGCCATGTGATTGATTTTTAGCCCCAGTAGGTTGCTGTCATTAAACTATGCACACAGGGCTTCTTGCTTTTAAGTTAGCAGGATGGAAAAATTGCAGGTGTTTGCAGCAAATATGTAGAAGCAGCCACGCTGGCCCCTAAGCAATGGTATTAGAAAGGGTTGGTGATGATTTCCTCATTTGAGAATTGAACAAAACCAAATGGAATTCTCTCTAGTTCTGCAGCACTGGGGGCTGTAAGTGGCAGAGCTCACACTTTCCCCACAGATGGACCCAGAGTGGCACCTGGTATGTGAGGCAGGTGACCAGGAGAAGAGGCAGATAACCCACCCTTCCTGGGTCATCTCCCACTTTGCCTGGGTGTCCGTCACTGGAGGGTTAGCTCAGTACAAGCTGACGGGTGACCTCCGTAGAGCTTGGGTGAAGGGGCTCTCATAGGGCATGTGTTTGAGACCCTTAGAGGGCTCTCCTTGCTCTTGCTTCTCCCATTATTTTTAAACTGCAGTAACACACACGGAACACAGAGTTTACCATTTTAAAGTGTACAGTTCAGTGGCATTAGTGCAATGTTGTGCAGCCACCTCTGATATTTAGCTCCAGAACATTTTCACTGCCCCCAGAGGAGACCCTGTACTTATTAAACAGTCACTCCCCATTCTTCCCTCTCCCCTCAGTCCCCACAATGAAAAATCTCTTTTCTCCCACTTTGGATTTGCCTATTCCGGGTAATCCATAAAGATGGGATCGGACAACATGTGCCCTTTAGTGTCCGGCTTATTTCACCAGCATAATGTTTTCAGGGTTCATCCCTGTTGTAGCGCATGTCAGTACTTCGTTCATTTTTGTGGCTGAATGATATTCCACTGAATGGCTATTTTTTTTATTTTTATTTTGTTTTTATCTTTTGAGACAGAGTTTCACTCTTGTTGCCTAGGCTGGAGTGCAGTGGCGCGATGTTGGCTTACTGCAGCCAAATGGCTGTATTAAGTTGTAT